AGAGTAAAGTGCTCTGGACATGGAATCAGCAGCACCCGGGAGCAAAAGCTCCAAGGGAACCATAGAAACAACATCATCTGAGGGGTTCTCACTTTCCGCAACACCAATGAAATTGCAATCAGCATATTTTCTTAGAATTTCAGGATACTTGTGGCTCAGTAGAAAGAGGAGTTTACACCAAATGAACCATCCACACACAGAAGGACATTCTTGCCTTGAAGTTGTTGCAGGGCCTCGGAGGAGAGGTCTGGCTTATATCTGCACAACAAAGAGGGCAAGGTGACTTGACGCAGAGAGGACAACCTTTCCAAGTAGAGCTTCTCTGTGGTGAAGGGGTACATGCTAGGAGGCAGCGCCCTATTTGCCAAGAGATATAAGCCCAAGAGGGATAATACTGCGTGAGCATTGATATCTCCGCAATAGGAATAGGAGTCGGAATCGGTTTCCCCAACAGCAGGGAGAAGGATAAGCCTGTCAAAATTCCTCCCTCCGGAGAGGCGGAAAAGGGTGCGCACAATCTTGTCGTTATAGGGGTGCAAAGCCCACCAAGTGGTTATGTTGCGGTCGGCCAAGGCATGCACAATTTGGCGGTAATAGGAGTGGGGGTAATCTGAGAATGCTAGGGGCACGACCACGACCTCGAGCTTGGGAACACGACCCCTGCATTGCAGGTAGATCTTGACAAGACTGTCCATGAGGTGCCCATTAGCGCAGAGGTATAATGCCACTATTTGGCCCTTCATTAGGGTTGACTGAGGGGAAGGATCTGCCATTGTTGCACCACGAATCTTGGCTAGAAGAACATCCTCTGGACTGTGATTGAAAAGTTCAGCAAGGGACAGCAGTGTGTCTTTGTAGTTAAGAGAAGGAGAAGGGGAATAGTCTCTCCATGAAAAATTCGTCCCGCCTGGAAAGCTCGCGGCGATGGTCCATGGAGAAAGGGTAGAAGGCAGCCCCATAGGAGCATAAGAAGCCAAAACTATCACCCAGAACCTTGCCGACAGGATCCACAACAAGGACTGCATCGGGGGGCTGTTTGAATTTACTAAGAGAGCTGAAAACTCTGTCACGAGACTTGTAATCTGAAAAGGGGATGGCAAGGACACCCTTGGGGAAGCCGGAAAAGAATTTATTAAAAATCACCTTCTCGACATTTCGTCCACTCCAAATATCTGTGGCACACGGTCTCACCTTGGTCACGATAACAATCTTACATTCAGGGTTCAATCTCCTGGCGGACACCTCTTCAAATAGACGTATCAGAGTATGGCAAGATTCAGCGCCACCAGAAGCAGAAAGTATGGGGGCCAAGAAACAAGCAACGATGACATAACAGCCCTTCAGCTCCTGCTCAATGGGGACCGGCACAGCTACTTTTCTGCATTTCTTCTTCTTCTTCTCCAGCTTAATCAGGAAATCCCTGTTGGGGCCCTTCAACAACTCAACAACATCAACATTCTTCTTGCTCCCGATATAGCTGTCCTCTTTTGTGTCCCAACAATCATCACTCATCCTTAGAATGATCTTTTCCCAGGGTTCGGATTGATATGTCCCCAGGAACGGCAAGGGATTCCTAAACCCACTTGAAGGAAAAAACATATGATGCGGCACAAACTTTATTTCTTGTTCCGCCATTTTTCAAATTAACTGTATGGAGAGAGCAAATAACTAAGGCATCAATTCTAGTTCTAAAATTCCAATTCTACCAACTGATGAAAGAAAGATCAAGTTACAACAATCCTGTCATTCCATATAGAGTCATATTATTTCAATTACACAAGCATTACAAAATCATTCTATTTATGTACATATTAACTTTCCTTTTCTATTTATGTAAGATAAACATCCAATTTTAAAAAGTTGAAATACTGATTTCTTAAATTTGTAAAAGATACAAATTCAATCAACTACAGTCTCGAAAAAATGCAAAGGCTTCAAAAAAAAATGAAAATTTATGCTGAGACATCAAAAAATGGAGACAGAGAGACTTTATTCGTACTATGGCAGCAACCCCAATTCTCAAATTCAGCAAAGTTTATACAAAAAGGTGATTTTTAAACAAAATCCCAAATTGAAACGCAGATTCATGGCGAGCCAACAACCCCAAATTCAACGCAGTCGCTCAAATTTTTTATTCTGTAATTGGATTTCAATTCCAAAAAAGCAAATACGCGAAGGAAAAAATCAAATACTCACGGCCTCACCTCTTCCCCGGGCGTAGAGATGGCCTCGGAAAAAGAATGGGCTCTCGTTGGCGCCTATGGTTGCCGTGCTCTGAGCATGAATCGCCGGTCAATCGGTCATTTTGGTTCAATTTTCTTGTGAACTTATCCCTCCCTGCTCCTAAATGTTTTGTTGGAAGTGGAAAAAATGAAGTGTTTTTGAGAACGGAGAGAGTAGTATTTTATTATTTACATTGACATAAAATGATATAATGCATTAATAAAAATTTGCATTAACATTTTGTATCTACATGGATTATCATTATAACATTATACTGACATAAAAGAAAAGTGCAAATCTGCAGAGTACAAATCTTGGGATAAACGTAGCTTAATCCATTTCAATAATCTCATATCCAAGGTGTAGGGGTCAACTAAAAATAAAAGAAAAGTGGAAAAAAGAAAGGATAGAAAGAGAAGGGGTTGAAAAAGAAAAGAATATAAATTATGAGAGTGTAAAGAGAGAAAAAATGAAGAAATTTGATGACAATGTGGAAAAATAAAAATTCAAATTTTAGAGAAATGAATATAAGTTTTGACAAATTTTAGATGGTGGCTCAATATACGGCTAGGCTCATATATGCTTATATGGGTGGTTTATTATTTCCAGATTCTTCGGGTATGTACGCACCAATTGATTTCGTGACATACTTACGAGATTTTAATGGAACATCTACTTTTAGTTGGGGCTCTGCCATATTAGCGCGATTATATTTTTCGCTCTGTAAGGTTGCGTTGAAGACTAACACGCGAACGCGTCCCGGGGGTTGTCTTCTTCTATTGCAATTATGGGTGTGGACTCAGATTTTGACCATAAGACCCATAGTGAATAATGTTCCGAACAATCCACACAGGCCTCCTCGCGAAGACAACCCATTTGGTGCACGGTATTCATTTACATTAATTTAGATTATCGAGGTTATAACTTTTTTCTCTTATTTTATATCTAGTTCATATACATTTATTAATATCCAGGTGGAAACAGACCAAGATGTACAATGCCTCTGCGAGGCAAAATGTACGCTACTTTAGGAATCAACTTGACTCCACGCCTGAAGAGACCCCGCGCTTTAAGTATGCATTTTGGGCTTTCGCCGCGGCAATACATGGATTACAATACTGCATGCCTGTAGTGACGGTGGACGGAACTCATTTGTACGGAAAGTATAAGGGTCATCTCCTTCTTGCGGTTGCCATGAATGGTAATCGTGAAATCTTTCCCCTGGCTTATGCGATTGTTGACGGAGAAACATGTGAGAGTTGGGCTTGGTTTTTTCGCCTTCTTGTTCAGAGGGTTATCGGCTCACAACAAGTCTGTATTATTTCTGACAGACATATCGGAATCATTAACTCCTATCGTGACCTTCCAGAACTACAGACTGGATTGATAATGAAATGTTTTTGTCTTCGCCACGTTCGGAGCAACTTCATGACAAAGTTCAGGAACAGTGATCTTAAAAATTTGGTTTGGGCTGCTGGTAGTACACATAATATCCAACAATTTGAAGGATATATGGCTGAAATACGAAACATGAGTGAGGAGGGATATAAGTATTTAAATTATATTCCCGGGCGGCATGGACCCTTTGTTATGATGGTGGGTTTAGGTGTGGTATCTTAACGACAAATAGTTCTGAGAGTTTCAACAATATGCTGAAAGGTTGCTGAATGTTACTTGTCACTGCCATTTTATCCATGTCCTATGCCAAGATGGTTGAATTGTTTGCTAAAAGGTACAAGCTTGGTATTCAGTGGCAAGAACAGAGCATGCACATTACTCCGAAAATTAAAAATGTTCTCCTTAATCGGGAGAAAACTAAGCACAAGTGGACCGTCTCAAGCTACGGTAACAACCAATACGTAGTGACTCACACATCTCGAACAGATCCTTCTTCTGTTTACAGCTACTTGGTCAATTTGTTTAGTAGTGTATGCACTTGTGGGCAATGGACTTCCGATAGTATACCGTGCGTTCATGTTCATACTGTTTACCACTCTTTTCGACAACAAGTTCCTCAGAACATATTACCAGCTAGGTACTCGGTTCAAAACTATTTGAGTTGTTATGGTGGTATAATTCAACCTCTTCTTTTCCCTCAAAATTTAGATGTTGGAAGCTTTAAGGTTCTACCTCCCAAACGGCCAACAGATGAGATTCCACGTTTAGGGAGACGTCAACGCAATCGATACCAGGGCGAGATGGATTTCAGGGCAAGGAGATGAATTTAGTTTATAATTTTTTTAGTTTGTATCAGGGAAGGTATTGTAATTCTTGTTTATTTCAGATTTTGAGAATGTAATTTGCTGTTGATGTTTTAATATATTTATGTTTTCAATATTGCCTACTATTCGTTTAAAAAACAAGTTTCTCTTTATTAAATTTCTATTGATTGATTTTTTTAACAAATTAAATATTGAATCATAATAAATATTTATTTTTATTTAAAAAAAGGTTTATGAAATCTGTCATCTGCGCAATTTTGTGGAATGAAAATTTCGGCTTTATGAAAGCCATTTTTTAAAAATAAATTTTTTTACAAAAAACGGCTTTGTGAAAGCCAATTTTTATTTAATTTTTTTTTTTACAAAAAATGGCTTTGTGAAAGCCGATTTTCAAAAAAAAAAAGTAAAAAACGGCTTTACTAAAGCCGATTTTCCCTCTCAGGAAATGCATGCTCCAAATCTTCCCTCTGCGGGAATTTATTCGTGTAGGGGTCAACTAAAAATAAAAGAAAAGTGGAAAAAAAGAAAGGATAGAAAGAGAAGGGGTTGAAAAAGAAAAGAATATACATTATGAGAGTGTAAAGAGAGAAAAAACGAAGAAATTTGATGACAATGTGGAAAAATAAAAATTCAAATTTTAGAGAAATGAATCTAAGTTTTGACAAAGTTTTTATTATTATTATTGTTGTTGTTGTTGTTGTTTAAATGCAAGATTAAAAAGCATGTCTTAAAAGAGGATGTGAAATTTACACTAAATAAGACTAAAAGATAATGACTTTCCTAATGTAGGACTTAAATTTTTTTATTCTTTAAATAGGACTAAATAATGACCTCGTGGGAGGAATAATGTCCAGTAATGCTGGACATTTACTTGTTAATGACCAAAAGTCCTACATTGGGAAATAAAAACAAATGGTCCTATATTGAAAAAGTCATTATGTTTTAGTAGTAAATTTCTCAAAAAGGATTGAGGAGCGCATCTATTTAATATTTACTGCTTTTCTTTGTCAGCATTGATTTCTTTACCAAATCCCTTGGCTTGTTTTTTAGGTAACCGAAGCATTATTTGAAATTACCGAAGCATTATTTGAAAGAGATTGAACCAATATCGAAAAGCTTTCTCGCTCAAATCTGTGGTATGATGCTTATGCGATTTGCTTAGTGATTTGAATTTATTTTCTAATTCAAAAATAGAAGTACACATTTTTCCAAGAAAAATCACAATTCGCGAAGGGAAGTATGGAGTAGTAATTTATTTTTTTTTTAAAAAAAAACTAAATCTGCATTTAGCAACAAACCATTCAAAACAATACAACTACGAATCGAAAGCTTGCTATTAGAACAATCCAGGTGTGATTCTTCACAGTAGAAGTCTTCGATAGATGGCTCAAATGTATTCTTGGTGTTATAGAAATATGGGTTCTAACCAATACTCATAACCATTTTGTATATGCCTTAGATAAACCAACCCAATCAAACACTATATTTTTATCTATTGTAAGATAACATAGTTCAGGGATAATATCAAATTAATAATAGCTTAACAATCTAAAAACCAAAAATAAATATAAATCATCCCAATTTTAATTATTGAAAATACCTGTAGAAGATTAAAATCGCTTGAAGATGGAGACCTGGGAGCGGCACGCTTATACAAAAAAGAATCTGGGAAGAAAGATGACTGATCAATTGAAGAAGGAGGAAAAGCAAGGTCCATAGTGTTATCGTTTTACATATTTAGTCCCTACATATCAAATATTATTAATTTAGTCCCTAATTATTATATTCATTTCCACAAATGGTTCTTTGTTAACATTTCCGTTAAGAACGTGGATAAAATTGTAAATTCACACTCTTTTCTCTCCCCAATTAAGCTTCCTCCCTCCCCTCGCACTCCTTTCACAAACCTGTGGCTGAGTTTGAAGCTTTGGACTCAAAACCAAAATGATTACTCTTCTCTTAATTGTTTGTCTAACTGGTGCGACCCAAATTTAAAACCAGTAACCTTCATGTATGAGTTTTTATGTTTATTTTCTTTGTAATTTCTTGAGACCAACCGGTAAAACTCATCCATAAATCTTATTGGTTTTAATTTTAAGTTCCACTAGGAAGTCTAGAAGACTAATAACTGAGAGAGAAATGGTCATTTCACTTTTGAGTTTAGAGCTTCTAACTCAACGATGAATTTAGGAAAGAGTACGAGAGGAAGGAAGAAACATAATTGGGGAGAGAGAGAAGTATGCATATACAATTTTATCCATGTTCTTAACAAAAACGTTAACAAAGGATCATTCATGAAAAATGATACTCCCTCCGTTCTCAAAAAGAGTTCCCACTTTGAAAATGTGGAAAAATAAGGAAGTGTTAAATTGTAGTTGACTTCCAATTTTGCCCTTGATGTGATAGGTAAAAAGTAAGATGTAATGGGTAGATTATTAGAGAAAAAGTATGATGTGATAGGTAGGGTATGAAAAAGTAAGGGTAAAAGTGGTTTTTTAATAGAAAGTGGAAGTATTTTGTTGGAAGTGAAAAAAAAATGAAAGATGAAGTATTTTTTAGAACGGAGAGAGTATAATAATTGGGGATTAAATTAGTAATATTTGATATGTAGGGACTAAATATGTAAAATAACCTATAACTGGGGACCTTTTATGGAATTTACTCTAATTTTATTTACAAATCCTTATATCAATAAAAATGTAAATTATATATGGAGTATTACAAAACTACGTCAAAAATTCTATAAAACTAGAATTGACAAAAATATTTTATTTATCAAATACTTAGGGCCCAGTTTGGTAGGTTTGGAGAAATGATAAGATATAATTTTTTGAAATCTAAAAAGAATTTGTTTGGAGAGACTTAAAATGATGATTTAATTAGTGATAAGCGGGGATCACCGACAACGGGATGGTTGGTGATGAGAATGGTAGCCGATGACAAAGAATAATCAATGGTTAAGAGAGATATCAAATCTCCATATTGATATCTCCCAAATTCAGGAGATATCGAACTCTCCATTTGAAAAATTTATGATATTTGGAGATATCATATGAGAAATGTACTTAAATAGGACTAAAATATAATGACTTTCCCAATGTAGGACCATATGTTTTTATTTCTCGATGTAGGACTTTTGGTCAATATTAAGTAGTCATTATTCAAGTAAATGTCTAGCATTGCTAGACATTATTCCTCCCACTAGGTCATTATTAAATCCTATTTAGGGAATAAAAAAGTTAAAGTCCTACATTAGAAAAATCATTATGTTTTAGTCCTATTTAATGCAAATTTCACATATTCAAATTTGATATCTTTTTTGGCTTTACCAAACAAATAAAAAGAATTTTGATATCTAGAAGTATCAAAACACATATCTTGTTTGCTCACCAAACATTCCCCAAATGGAAATTGCGCGAATAAATAAAAATTATTGAAAGGAGAGAAAAAAATTAAAATCAAATAAAATTTAAACGGGGGAATAGCTTTTTTTGAAACAAGAATAATGTCGTTCCGTTTATAAAAATTTCCACACACTACCTTCTTAATTATGTAGTAAGGTGTACTATCCATAAAAAATTCTTTTATAAATTTACTCTATTATTAATACAATTATTGTGTTCATAATTATATTTTATAAATTATTTCATTTTTTTCATTTCACTATTTTTATGATTTACATTCATTATTATTATTTCTTTAATGTTTTAATATAAATAATACCATTTGTTTGTATATTAATCTACATGATAAAATAGAAAAACATCAATATTTTAAACAATTTAAAAAATAATGGATAAATAGTTACATGGAATGGGGTGGGAAGTACTACGTACATTATGAGAATCAAGAGAAAACTACATTTTGAAAAAGAAAAAACAATCCAAAAATGTAAAAAAGAAATTCAACTAACAAATAATATCACCAATAATTAAAATAGAACTAACAAAAAAGTTATACTTTCATTTATTTGATCTACTTTTTATTGTCTCTAATAAGTAAAATATTGTGCATATAAATATAAATAATCAATCATTTTCAACATAATCATGATGTAAAAACTATAGTCTGTATTTAGTATATTCAATTAAGTTTAACTACACTAGAATATTAAATGATATTTCATCTCTAAACCGCGTCACTGTATCTTTAGTTTGTTCATCAAACAATATCACCTTTGGCATATCTTCCGTTGTTTGTTGCATCAGTGAAATTGATATTCCTTTTTTATGAAGACAAATGAAATTGTGCAAAGTGCATGTTGCAATAACATTTTGAATGTGGTGCTCCTGTTTCATTTGAGGCATCCTGTGGTGCAATATTTTTCATGTGTTCTTCAAACCTTCAAATGTTCAATAGTTGTTCTCAAAGAGGAGTGACGATAGTTAAACAATGATGACGATAATAATAATAATTTATAACAAAAAAAAATTAGAATGGGAATAATATAAAAACACACAAAAAAAATTTAAAAAGCTTTTTAGATTTTCCAATTTTTTCTAGTTTTTTCAGATTCTTTTAATTTTCCAGTTCTTCCAGTTTCTTTCAGTTTCTTCCAGTTTCTTCCAATTTTTTCCAGTTTCTTATAACATCCAACTCTTGTTTTCGAGTCCTAAAGAACAGACTCTAAATATTATGAAGTACATACTTCCTTCGTCTCAATTTATATTTTTTGTTTTAGTTTATAATAATTGACTAAAATAATACATTAAAAAAACTACAAAATTAGTGATGACATGACTATTTTCTCTCTGCTTCTTCCCTTCTTGCAATTGATTAGACTTACAGAACTCACCAGAAGAAATTCTATGCTGATTTAGAATTTGAATAAGGTGTTGTTTTGTTAATGTATTTAGAATTGAGCTTTGCATTGTCTGAAGAAAGATATGGGACGGGAGGGAATACATACTCCCTTTGTCTCAATTTATATTGTCTGTTTTGATTTTTATCTAGACGTTCATAAATAAAAATTACGTATTAAAATACAGGAAATTTATCTAAATAGTACTAAAAACATAATGACTTTTCCTAAATAGTATCACGTATTTTTATTTTCCAATGTAGCACTGTTAGTCATTATGCACTAGTCATTATTCAAATAAATGTTCTCCATCACTGGACTTTATTCATCCTTCTAGACATTATTAAGAGTTTGTTCTTTAGGGCTTGAACTCTTAACTTCCAGTTTCTTCCAGTTCCCTCCAGTTTTTTCCAGTTCTTTCCAGTTTCTTCAAGTTCCTTCCAATTTCTTCCAATTTTTTCATTTTCTTCAAATTCTTTCTACTCCTCAACCAATTACTCTAAAAATGATATATTTCAATGTAATTATTATTATTATAACAACTGTTATATTCATGACTATAGTTTATAAATTATTTTTTTCATCTCAGTATTTTTACGATTCACACTTATTGTTTTTTCTTCAACTTTTTAGTATGAATAAGACATTTTTTTGTATATTAGTCTACATGATAAAACAAGAAAAGATCAATATGTTAAATTATACTAAAAAATTATGGATAAAATAGTTACATTGAATGTTTTATTAATATAACTTTTTATAAGACATCTCAGTTTTACCTTTATTAGTTAAAATTGCTCATTTTTCTAATTTTTATAAAAAAAATTGTAAGTCATAAGAGATTAGAGAAAAAGACTAAAATACGAGTAAAACATAAAAAATGTAAACAAAAAAGTTCTATGTCTTTATTCCAAAAATAGGAATTCAATGAAAATAAAATGTCAATCATGAAAGAAACAAGAGGTTTGATTATGTGACATGTATGATATTTAAAACAAAATATTTTAATATATAAATTATAATTACAAATATATTATTTATAATAAATACTGCATAAATAAATTGAGGTGCAATATAACTACACAGCCTTTTTAAAATTTAAAATTTTTATATTTATGCTAACTTTATATTATAATATTTTTTTTGTAAAAGTAGTTTTTTGTATTTAAAAAAAAATACTTTTTTTTATATCTTAAAGACATTTACTAAGATAACGTGATGATGATGATCATGATGATGATGATGATAATGATAATGATAATGATAATAATAATAATAATAATGATAATAATAATAATAATAATAATCTATAACAACAAGAATTTAAAATAAATATTTTTAAAGTTTTTTTTAGGTTTTCCAGTTTTTTCCAGTTTCTTCTAGTTCCTTCCAGTTTTTTTCAGTTCCTTCAAATTTTTTCCAGTTTCTTCCAGTTCCTTCTAGTTTTTTCCAGTTTCTTCTAGTTCTTTTCAGTTTCTTCCAACATCGAGCTCTTTTTTTACAGTCCTAAAGAACAGGCCTTAAGTGTTATTTAAAGAATAAAAAAAGTTTAAGTCATACATTGAGAAATGACTTATGTTTTAATATTATTTAAAGCAAATATTTTATTATGACATAATTATATTATTTTAGTCGTGTATCAAACAAGTACTCCACTAAAAAAGAGAAAAGAAGTAATGGGAGATTGACCCAATAAACATTACACATGTAATAATAATAAGTTGTTGTTCCCCTTTATCCAAATCCCAATTCATCCGTTATCAGTTGACGCTTAAACCGGGAAAGACTGAAACAAGATAAGCCTGACACTCCCTTCCCGTGTCACAATCCCCAAATTCTTCATCATCTTCTTCTCCTCCTCCTCATACTTCTCCCCTTGATTTTTTCCTCTTTCCTATTTTTGCTCATCGGCGATTCTCGGCGCGGAGCGAAAGACAATGGCGCCTGCGATCGCTCAGGCCGGCGACGGCGACAAGCAATCTCTCGTATTTGCATACTATGTCACTGGCCATGGCTTCGGACATGCTACTCGTGTTGTCGAGGTACCTCGCCGCAGTTTTGTTTGTTGATTCGAGTTCTGTCTTCTTCGAGTTGTGGTTGACTTTTAATGTTTTTGTGTCCGGTGAATTTCTGAGATGATGAATGGTTTGTTCTTATTGGACAGCTGCTGGAAATCATTTTTTTGCTGGTTTAGCTAAATGTATCACACTCAATTGCTCGTCTGGAACATTATATACGATGGAAAATGGCTAATTTTATTCAAATTTGGTCTCTTTTTATTGTTCTGTATATTAAAAAAACAATTTGTTCGTGTATATGTGTGTGTGTACCTAGTAGATAGACTCTTATATTTGTTTCACGGATTAGGTTGCTCGGAATCTCATTTTAGCTGGACATGATGTTCATGTGATTACGGGTGCACCCGATTTTGTTTTCACTTCAGAGATACAGTCTCCCAGACTTTTTCTTCGCAAGGTCAGCGGAATGATATCTTTCATATGTGTGTGTGTGTCTATGTGTGTGTGTATATATATCTCTGTGTGTGTGTGTGTATTTTGACATAAGTGATCACTACAGGTACTCTTAGATTGTGGAGCAGTTCAAGCCGATGCTTTGACAGTGGATCGTCTAGCCTCATTAGAAAAAGTATGCATTTTGTTCAAGGATTTTCATCATCACCACCTTCATCCCAACTCGTTGGGCTAGGTGGCATGAAGTTTTGTGTCAACTTATTGTCTCAAAGTAGTTGACACTTTAAGTTCATAACTAAAAAAACACAGTGGCCAAATTGACATGTATTGACTCTTTATATTTGTGTCTTATGCTTCAGTATTCTGAGACAGCTGTTGTACCACGTGCATCTATTTTGGCTACAGAAGTGGAGTGGCTTAAATCCATCAAAGCAGACTTAGTGGTACTGAAAGCTCGTGTTTTTAGCAGATTAACATCATACTTGCGTTAGAAGTTTTTTTTGTACCACATAAGTCTGAGTAGACAACAAAAATGCATCTTGATTTGTCTTTTGTGTGAAACATGCATATTTACACAGTCATAAGTTCCTAATCTTTCATACTGTATACTATTCTATATTGAAGTTGAAATGAGGACATTTATGGTATAAAAGATTTTCTTAAAGCATTGTTACATTTTCACTCTCTGCTGTAAACTGAGTTAGTGGGCTGTTTTCTAGAAAATTGTGACACAAGTTTCATTTTTTTTCAATAAGGATTTGAACAACTGCGACAGTACGTGTATCTTCATTTTAGAGGAGGTTGCAGACTTATATACCCCAACCCGTGAAACAGGTTTCAGATGTTGTTCCAGTTGCTTGCCGGGCAGCAGCTGATGCTGGGATTCCCTCTGTCTGTGTCACCAACTTCAGGTCATTGAGTACTGCCATATTACACATCTCTCCTACGAAAATAATATTTTCTGCATATATACAGTAAAAATGTGAAAAAAGTAATTTCCTTTTGACACTTGATTAAAAAGCCATTAGGGTACCTTTAACAACTTTTGTTATTTTTCGGTGTTTCTTTCAAGTCAATTCATTCTAAAAATAGTAATACTATCTCTATAAACATAAACTGCTATTCTGCCCAGCCTTTTACCTACTGTTTCTGTTGGCAGTTGGGACTTCATCTATGCAGAATATGTTATGGCAGCTGGAAACCATCACCGATCTATTGTTTGGCAGGTCAACAAGTATCAATGAATGCACACTTATTTTATTTTCATAAATGTCATACTTTTGTTAGTTTTTCATTGAGGATGCAAACTGCAAAGTAGAAATTGGCCCATTGTCTTTTCCCTCCTTGATTATTCTCTTTATGTTGTTTGTGGAAGGAGCATTATAGATGGAGGAGCATTATAATGTAAACAATGAGAATACAACAAAACTAAAAAGTTGAAATAAGAGGCCAATACAACAACTTCCCTACTCCCTTGTTGTCTCTTTGTATTTTTACAAGTTTTGGTGTACTATGCAACTTGGTCTCTTACATTATTATCATTGTTCTTATACAGATTGCGGAGGATTATTCTCATTGTGAATTCCTTATCCGGCTCCCAGGATTCTGCCCAAGTATGTTGGTTGTTTATTCATTTAAAGCTTTGCGTTCCCATCGTTTCTCATGTATTATGACTTTTAAAAACTCAAGTTTCTATGTATCAATGCCATCTAAACTTAACATCACAGTGCCTGCTTTCCGAGATGTAATTGATGTACCTCTGGTTGTCCGGAGACTGCACAAATCCCGTGAAGTGGTCAGTGAGAACACTTGGATCCATCTGTGAGATACTCTTCAGGTGTTGGTTTCCTATGACATTGTTCCTTACAATGTTTTAGGTGAGGAGAGAGCTGGGAATTGGAGAGGAGGTGAAGGTTGTAATTCTCAATTTTGGTGGGCAGGTGAGCCCTCTAGTCAGTTTCTCTAGCTGTATCTGATAAACACAACTGTTTAGATCGCCAAATATCATCTGGAATACTCTGGCTGGATGTCCATTTTCAGAACGTGGAATATGTATGTCTATTGTAGTTCGATAAATTTCCAAAAAATTCTTTTTATTGGTGAGCCAGTCTGATTGTGAAGAGAAGAAATATCTATTATGCCAAGTACTTTGGGGAGAGTGAGAGAGAGAGAGAGGTTCAAGAAGTTGTGGTTTCCTATGACTTGTATTTGTTTGGTCTTTGGACCTTCTTTAGTTCCTCGGCACTTGTAAATTTCCTACATGTGTCCTGTACATCCTCTAGAAATGAATCACTTGTTAGGGTTAGCCTCAAAACTTGTACTATCTTTAAATTCTCCAATCATCCATTTACAGCCTGCAGGTTGGAAGTTGAAGCAGGAGTACTTACCTTCTGGCTGGCTCTGCCTGGTACCTCCATTTCCACTTCAGTCTCCTAGTCTCATTTACAACAGGTTATGTCATTTCAGGCTTTCAGCAATTTGGTTGTCTGATTCCAGGTTTGTGGTGCTTCTGATAGTCAGCAGTTGCCTCCAAACTTTATAAAGCTTGCAAAAGATGCTTACACCCCTGACCTTATGGCAGCATCTGACTGTATGTTAGGTTAGTGAATACATTTAATTTTCGACTCATTGGATCTAGATATAATACTCCATTACTCCTGTGTCTCACAAAGAGTATTGCTTTAGGAATTTGCACAGAGATTATGAAACTCATTAAATATGGCAGTACTATACATTTATACCTATGCTACCCATAATCAGTGCACGTTCTTGATTGATAAGGATAAGGATGGAAGGTTAGAAAATTAGCAATGAATGTTCTCTTGATTTCATAAACAATGGACATTGTGAAACAATAAATTTAAACCAAAGCAACACTTACTGTGAAACGGATGGAGTATGTTGTTTTCCTCTCAAGCTTTATGATTGAGCACACCATTACTACAGGAAAAATCGGGTATGGTACTGTTAGTGAGGCCCTTGCATACAAGCTACCATTTGTCTTTGTGCGTAGAGACTACTTTAATGAAGAACCTTTCCTGAGAAATATGCTTGAGGTACATAATTATGGCCCTATAAGATTTGTCCTTCACCATAGAAATCTATTTGATACTAGAAGATGTATTTTAACATGCAATCATAAAAATAATATCAACCAGAACTATCAAAGTGGTGTCGAGATGATCAGGAGGGATTTACTTACTGGGCGTTGGAGACCTTACCTTGAACGTTCAATTAGTCTGACACCATGCTACGAGGGAGGCACTAATGGTGGTGAGGTACTCTTTTATTTCTTAATTGGACAGATCACTCTCTTATTACAATGGGCACTCATGAGTTTCTAGTGGTAAGCAAAAATGACTATGTGAAGTAAAGAAGATAAACAACTTCAGCAACATGAATGTTTCTTCTCTTTGAGAACATTTGGAGCACACAACCTCTTACATATGCTATCCAATATTTGTCATGCACCTATTATACTGTACGCCATATGGTCTAACCTATTATACTGTACGCCATATGGTCTAAAATATTGGCAAAATTTCAGGTTGCAGCCACTATTTTGCAAGACACTGCTTCAGGGAAGAACTATACGGCAGATAAGGTACAGAAACTTACCCCCTATACAAATTTTATTTCCAACTGATTCAAAAAGTAGAATGGTGTACTTGTAATTTTCAGGTGGATTACTATGTGCATCGTGCTACCTAACTATTTACAAAAATATCAACTCTTTTGTGATTTTGTCTATATTTACAAATTAAAAGTCTAGAAATCTTGTTAGCACGACTAAGATACGACTCATAATAAGATTTTGAAGTGAACTATGAATATTTTTATCTCTATCCTTGCATTTTAGCTAAGTGGGCCAAGAAGACTGCGAGATGCTATAATTCTTGGATACCAATTGCAAAGAGTGCCTGGAAGAGATCTTTTGGTTCCAGATTGGTATGCAAATGCTGAAAATGAACTTGGCCTTCGTCTTGGATCACCGCCTCCTGTAACAGAAGAGGGTAGTTTTGTAACAACCATGTAAGTTTATTCTACCTTATTGTGGCGAGTGCACATCGATGTTACCTGCTGAAGGCTCTGGAGACTGATATTTTGGCACTGGCATTCTAGAAAGCCTGAAAACTTTGAAATTCTACATGGCGATTCTCAAGGCCTGTCAGATACAACAAGCTTCTTGAAAAACTTAGGTGATTTAGCATATGACTCTTCACAAAGTACTGAGAAGCACCAGAAGAGGGAGCAAAAGGCTGCTGCTGGTCTCTTCAATTGGGAGGTATGACGTTTTTCATTTAATCCCATTGCATAGTTTCTATTTACCAATTTTCTGTTCATGAGGAATACTCCTTTATATCTTCTTCGTCATGCATTGTGCTGTTAACATAGTTTTATTTTTTGGCTTCAAACATATGATATCGAACATCCCAATACACATCTTTACTTGAATTGTTCTCCCTTTATTTCCAATAAACATATGAGAGCTTCTCTTCCCTCGAAACTTTTAGGAATTTGTAGTTTAACTATATTTTTCAGTCTTGGTCATTTTGGGTGTTTGGTTTCCTTGGCATTCATTGTCTACACCTTTTGCTCATCTTTATTCTTTTTGTATATAGGAAGACATTTTTGTGGCTAGGGCACCTGGAAGGCTAGATGTCATGGGAGGAATTGCTGACTATTCTGGTAGCCTTGTTTTGCAGGTCTGTTCTTTTTGTCTCATTTAGAATATTCTATTAGATTAATATCTTTACATAATTTCCTCTGTTTTTTCCTTAATACCTTATTATCCTTCTATAAAATGTACATGTATACACAATAAAAAGAAAACTTAGATTACTAGAGTAAGCTGTGATGGTCTTTAGCACATTCACCCTTGATAACTATTAACACAGGGATTACTTACAGCCTTAATATTTTCTTGTTTTCTGATAATTTCTGGTCAATTGTAAATTTGTTCTTACTCTGCTATCACTGCTTTATTTATCTGATTTCTTAATTTTTTAATTTTATAGTTGCCGATTAAGGAGGCTTGCCATGTTGCAGTGCAAACAATTCATCCAATTAAACAGAAGCTGTGGAAGCATGCTCAGGCTCGACAACAGGCCAAAGGGCATGTACTGACACCAGTCCTGCAGATTGTATGTGATTTCTTTGGAATTGCTTCAACTGATTTTGCATTGAAATAACTAAACTTAATTTTTTCTTTTGAAATGCCATTATACTATCATTCCTTTAGAAAGTAGGTTCAGTGTGAGTTTTTGAACCACGTCAAATAAAATATGTAAGAGATATGGCTAATGCAACATGTATGGAGCACTACAGTTTGGAACATCTGACGTGAACCTCTCAGTTTCACCTTGTTCTGATAATATTTTTTCTTCTTAGGTATCATATGGGTCAGAATTAAGCAACCGTGGCCCCACCTTTGACATGGATTTATCTGATTTTTTGGATGGGGAAGAACCAATATCGTATGAAAAGGCAAGGGAATACTTCTCTAGAGATCCATCCCAAAGGTTTATGACTCTTATATAATCAATTTCTTTCTTCTGAATTGTTGATTGAATATTCATGTTATACAGAGTACTAACTTGAATACCATTTTATTAGGTGGGCTGCATACGTAGCAGGAACGATTCTTGTTTTGATGAAGGAACTGGGCATCCGCTTTGAAAATAGTATTAGCATGCTGGTAAGTCATCTTATAATTTGGAGCTCGGCATTTGATTTTAAAGTATGACTTCATTTTCTTTCACTTTTCTTCATCGATGTACATTAAAATAATTACATGAATGGTAATGGGTGTATCTAAGAGGCGAATTTAACAGTGAATATTATGAACTCATAGAAACAGTTTTTTTTAACTTGTAGGTTTCTTCTGCTGTCCCAGAAGGGAAAGGGGTGTCTTCATCAGCATCTGTGGAGGTTGCCAGCATGTCTGCAATTGCTGCAGCCCATGGTAGCTAGCACTTTTATTTGGTGTTTTCTTACTGTTTAATTGCTATTAGAATTATGCATGATTGATTATTTTAAGGGGGCGTGCTTGCTTACCATGGTGTCATATATCACATCAAAAGTGGCTAGGTGAAGTTAACTGCATGATAGAAGACTAATGTTTATAAATTAGTCAAACAACAGAACACAATCTGAAGTATATAGCCTAGACACCTTTGGTGGGTGGGTGGGGGGGGGTTCTTGGGAAGGGATAATCTCTAGGACACATTCCATTTCTTTATGCAAGGAGGTGGATTGAATCTTAGCCATCCGGGGCACAGAGATAGAGACTCAACCAGTTGCATCAGCCTTGCCGCCCTTCAAATCTTCAGTAGAGTATTTGGGGAGGGCGTGGACCCCCCTCCCACACACACAAAGACACTTGTGAAGACAAAGAATGTGAAATGGCTGTTCCAAAATTCATCTGAAAGATAACACATGAAATTATATACTTTCTGAGAAACAATATTTCCGCTTAAGACCAAGAACTAGTGTTTTTTTAAGTCTATGATGTCAATATTTTATTGGCTGGAGCTTCTCCGCCTTTCTTTCCAAATTATTTTTTTCATCAATAAATTCACTGCGCATCAGTCTAAAGGAAAGTTTTCCTTTTCTTGTTTTTTTTCTAAACTAAATAACTACTCGCTATAACTATTCTCAGCTAGCCACTTCATTTTTCTGACATGCAGGATTGAATATCAGCCCACGGAAACTGGCCATACTATGCCAAAAAGTAGGGCTCCACTTGGATCCCCCCAAGTAGTTTCATTTCCCATGTTCTCTCCAAGTTGAATTTCATTTGAACTTTATGTGCTACTTTTAGGTAGAGAACCATGTTGTCGGAGCTCCGTGTGGTGTAATGGACCAGATGACGTCTGCGTGTGGTGAAGCAAATAAACTTCTTGCTATGATTTGCCAGGTATCTGAGTTATCGTTCCAAAGGAGACAGTTTCATATAATTTTATATTCATTTGGCATAAATTCTAAGGTTTTGTCCTTTTTGTTTTTCAGCCTGCTGAGGTACTTGGTCTTGTGGATATTCCTGACCATATAAGATTTTGGGGAATAGATTCAGGAATTAAACACAGGTATTCATTCCGTTAAAACCCTAATTCCTAAATTTCCCTTTTCTCCGGAGAACGGAGAACATTAGTGTGATACGATTCTTATAGCATGGCACAATAAACTTCGTGTACGTTTCCTTTTATGAAAAGAATTATTTGCTTGAAATGTTTTACTCCCTCCGTCCCAAAAACTCCTTCCCCTTTCTTTTTTTACTTGTCCCAAAAAAATCCACTTTTACCCCTACTAATTCTTAACTTACCTACCACATCATACCTTTTTACTAAATATCTACACATCACATCCTACTTTTTTACCCATATCAATGGTATTTTTGGAAGTCAACACAAAAATATTCCTCCCTTAAATTTCCTAAAAGTCGAAATGGGAACATCTTTTTGGGACGGAGGAAGTATTGTATAAATCTCAACATCTTTCTTAGTAAGCATGTCTAAACCCTGTGTCAACTTTAATAAGTTCATAGTTTTATACTACCATATCATTTTGTCTTTCATTGAAAATTGTCAAGCTAAAGCATTAGTTTCATAAAATGAAGAATAACCCTCCCCTACATTCCCCTCCAAAAACCATTTCCCGAACATGCTATTACAGTAAAATGGTGATAGCACAAGGACTTCATACTTGCGTGATGCATATTACTGATCATTGAGCACATTAAGAGTACATTATCTGACTAGCAGTATATGTACTCCCTAGTTGCAGACATGAATTTCTACCTTCTTTCTCCATCCCCGCACTTATGCCCCTGTAAATTGCAGTGTCGGAGGTGCAGATTATAAATCTGTAAGGGTTGGAGCATTTATGGGCCGAGAGATTATCAAATCTATTGCGTCAACATGTTTATCTCCGTCATCTTCATCTAATAACGGGGCAAATCATGATGAACCTGAAGAATATTCCATGGAACTGCTTGAAGCAGAGGGTTCGTTAGATTACCTGTGCAACCTTTCACCACATAGGTAAAACCGATAGCAGTGCTGGCTTTGATTTTTTTTGGGGGGGAGGGGGGGGGAGGGCTTGTTATATATATCTTGATATATTGGTTTTTTCTAAAAACAATAAAAGACGGTTGAAATGTTTTACGGTCACACATTATGTGTATTTTACGTCTTTTTTATGTGTCCGTGTATCAAGATATAGACTAAGCTATCTCATCCAAAACCCTCCATTGAAACAGTCTTTGTTTCCTTTATGTCGGACTTCCTATTTTATGGTTTTCACCTCCACTTTTCTCTTTAGCTGATGTTTCTGTACGAAATCTGGATATATAGATATGAAGCTCTTTACGGGAAGATGCTGCCTGAATCTATGTATGGTGATGTGTTCCTTGAAAAATATGTGGACCATCATGATCCTGTGACAGTTATTGATAAAACACGTAACTATGGAGTCAAGGCAGCTGCCAGACACCCTATATATGAGAACTTTCGTGTTCAGGTAAACATATTTTTGAAGCATTGTTGATTGATATATTCTGTACATGAGTTCTTAACTGCTCAAGATTCTTATTTGTTTATTTTATCAAGTTTCTTGCAATAAATGTGTTTGAGACATCGAGTATTGCATTATTGACATTTAAGTGTTAACTATATTTGGTTCAAGGAATTTAAAAGGGAAAAGAAAAGAAAATGAGATAGAAAACATTTTTTCTTGTTTGGTTAGAGAGGAAAAAAAAGCAAAGTGGAAAGAAAAGAAAATCAGAAGGCAAAATAAACTAAGAGGAGGGAAAACAAAATTCCACCCATTTCGGTGAGGAAAATGAGAGAAAACCAATTTCTTTTCTTTTCCTTCCTAATTCCTTGAACCAAACATAGTATTACTGTGTTAGGGTCTGTTTCGAGGGGAAGTCATTGGAGAATTTGGTCTGTAAAAATGGAATATTATCCATAACATGATTCAAACACGTAAAATGTAACAGTCTTAAAAAAATATAAAGGTAAAAGGTTGTCCTCAGTAAGGATTAATCATTGTGAGCTAGGCGGATTTTTTTCCCTTACAATTACACATAGTTATGGCTTAGTGTTTTAAATGTAGTATTGATACAAACAATTCGGTAGCAATAATAAAATGTAAAAGAGGAAGGGAGAAATTTATATCGATTGATGCATGCAAAATGGGTACATGCAGATGCATGATGACTATATTTACAGGTACAATCTACAATAAGGTCTTTTGATTGTGTCATTGCCTGAGTCATCATATTTGTCATCGTGTGGTTGCATCATCGCCTGAGTGGCTCATAAAATTCTTATATTATTTTTCACAACATTAAGTATTAACAAGATTTTCATGTTCAGGCATTTAAAGCATTGCTAACATCTGCAACTTCAGATGATCAGCTCACATCTCTTGGAGAGCTATTGTATCAGGTATCCGGTCAGATGTTTCGGGCTCCATTTCCTTTTTACCATTGCAATTTAAAAGGTTGTGTGTATTCATCATTTTAACATGAGGTGCGGTTTTTTTACAGTGCCACTATAGTTACAGTGCGTGTGGACTAGGGTCAGATGGAACAGATAGGCTTGTTCAGCTAGTACAAGAGGTTCAACATGGCAAGGCCTCAAAATCTGCAGAAGGGACTTTATATGGTGCAAAAATCACCGGTGGTGGGTCCGGTGGAACAGTTTGTGTGATTGGCAGGAATTCTCTCCGGAGCAGTGAGAAGATTCTTGAGGTAATTCATTCTCTACCTGTGTTTCTTTAGTGGTTCATTTGGCTAAGCTTTTCGGAACTATACTCGTCAAGACACAATGTATGTAATCAAATATGCCGGATATATTTAGCCAAAACTTACCTTTTGGGCCAAAATAGCCTTGAAAAAAAACTCAGTTTTCCTGTTCCAATCATTTTATGAATAGCGTTTTTACCAAACGTTAGAGTAATTGGGTAGACCTTTGGGCCTTAGTCCTTAGCTTGTGCCTTTTGTGTTTCTTGGAACGACCTCTCTATTTCCAAGTAAGGGCAGGATTTGCGTACACCTACCCTCCCAGGACCCAGACCCTACTCTCTTGTGGGACTTTTTTGGGTGTTGTATTCTTTCCAAACATCTGCGCTTGATCAGAATTCAAACTTAATGATGATGCTGATACTTTTGATGCAGGTTCAACAGAGATACAAGGCGGCAACTGGCTATATGCCTATTGTATGTGAAGGTTCATCGCCCGGTGCCGGAAAGTTTGGGTATCTAAGAATACGACATCGCAAACCTTCCAAGCAAACGCTGAGTGCGAACTTGCAGTAGTTAATAAAGAGAGGTATAGAGATCATCTGCCAAGTGCTAAGAATATAAATTCCTAAGGGACACAACAATGTATTTATTTATGCACACCCCATAAAAAATGTATTTATGCCAAATAAATATGGTTGTTGATTACCATATACATTTATTTAATGCATAAAAAGGTGAAGTTTTATTTTTCTTTCCCTATCGTCTTCGAGTACTTATATCATACATCCGGATGTATGGTGTTTTTTGTACATCTGTATGAGTATCCATTTTCGAGTAACCGAATACTCTTTTTTGAGCATTACTGAATTTTAGAAAAACAAGTTTTGAGTTGCTCGAAAATGAGTATTTAGTTATTCGTAAGTGAGTACTCGTGTACGAAAAACACTATTGCGGTCGTCTTCCTGTACATTATTCATTCTTGTCTATTTGGCTCAATCCAGAGAGTGGGACATGAAAGGTGAGTGGACTTTTGGTTCTCCAAAAAAGGCCAAAAAGCCACCATCTGTTTGGTTCACTTGATATCACTATCTAACTACGAGTTTGGTAACAAAATTCCCCCCTGAAGTAAGGCTATGTTTGGTACACAGAATTCAAATTATGGAATTAGAGTTCGCGACAAGAATTCCAATTATGTTGTTTGGTAGAGAATAAATTTCGTTATTATATACCAAAATAATGTGCTCATTTTTTTAAATATCATTGAAATAAAAAAAAACAATGAAAATACTGATAAAGTGAATGGTTAACATTTGTAGCCTCCACAAACAAACGAAAAAACTAGTAATACTGTGAAAATGCTATCTTTGTACCAAAGAGACTTGCTTATCATCAATTACTCGTACAATTTTTGGTCAAAATTAATTTTTATTTAATTTCTTTGAAAATAAGTACTACGTATAATTTTTTTAAATTAAATTTATATACTTAAAAAATAAGTCAAAATTTGTTCTTATAAATACTCCATTTGTCCTAATTTAAGTTATTTGTTTACTATTCATGATCAAAATTTAATCACGTTCTTTATCTATTTTCACTATTCATTTGATAAAATAATATACTTTCACCATATCTTGTTTTGTAAATTTTTTGATTTAGTTTTAAATATGTAACTTTATGTTTTAATTTCGTATCAATTTTGAACTAAATTGTGTTAAAAATAATTTCAATCAAATCTGGCAAACAACAATATACAATTTAGATTGGGACAAAAAGAATAGTGAACACAATTTTTTTTGGGGAGTAATAGATATATGCTCCGTATGGAATAAGCTTTGACATCCTGAAAATGTTATCTTACGCTAACATTTTTAACATTAGTATTTTCACAATTTATATATATCATTGCGCTATTTAAAAGTTATTGGAAATGTTAACGCTAAACGAAGAGTATTATGTAGTAGTAATTTTTATAGGCTCGAGAGGGATTCCCCTCTTGCTGAAATTAACAAAAATCTGTTTGGCTTCTTCAAGCCGAGAAGACTGAACCAACATATCTATAAAGGAGTTACAGGTATGGGCATCAGGAACACACCCATTCACTTCCATGGAGCCAAACAAGGCCTTAGCTTCATCAAACCTCCCTAGCCTACACAATGCCTTAATAAAGGCACTATAAGTATAATTATCAGGCCTCAATCCCAATCTTGACATTGTCTTGAGGACCCTTTTGCCCTCCTCAATCTCATTCACTCTACACAAACCCTGGATCAGAGCATTGTATGAGAAAACATCTCCCCTCACCCCAACACCCTCTTCCATCTTCTTCAACAGCTCCACTGATCGCCGAACCTCTCCTCTGGCGCAGAGCGCGCGGATCAAGACGTTGTACGTCGTGGCACTCGGGGACACGCCCCATTCCTCCATTTCCGTGAAGCACCCGAACGCGTCCTCGATCCGGTGGGCCCTACAAAGACCGTCGATTATGGAGGTGAAAGTGAAGGCGTCCGGCTTCAACCCCTTCTCCAAGAGCATCTCTAGAAGCTTCCGGGCGCGTGTTATGTCCCCTAGCTTGCAATGCCCGTCAATGAGCGTGTTGAATGTGACGAGATTCGGTTGAATATTAGTCCCTCCGTCCTAAAAGAAGAGTTAAATGTTTTACATTAAAAAACCCATATTTGATCAAACAAATCTAATTTTTCATGTAATTTCCCAAAAAGAGACAAATAAATTACCAATGATAAATTTCTAAAAATTACTCCCGAGTGACGTTGGTTTTGCAGCAAGAACTCCAAGGTCCTCATTTTTTTTGAAACTCACTAGAAGCCTTAAAATTGTTGTAGAAAAGCTACGGTGGGACATTCCGGTGCCATGGAAAATAGAAGGAATGTCCCAACCTGGTTTTTACAGAATAATTTAAAGGCTCTTGGTGAGTTTAAAAGAATAGGACTGGAGAGTTCTTACGACAAAACCAACGTCACCGGGAGTAACTTTTTGGATATATTTGGTTAGGTCAACACATGAATTTTATATGCTCCATCCATATTTGATTGATTGTTCCTATAGGCTTTTGCAGTGTTCAAAAATAAAGTGATGGGGCATTGTATATTGTATAAAAAGTGAAGAAGTAGGAAACAAAATATGAAAAAAAAATGCATTTGTATCATATGTCAAGCTTTAATTTTCCAAAAAAGAGAAACAACGCACTTGGTTAAAACTAAAAAAAAGAAGGCACATATTGATCAAAACACTCTTTTCGAGACAGAGGGAGTACTTACAATCATATCCTGAAACGTTTTTGAAGCTCGGTCCATCATTTTATTTTTGCAGAAACAGTGAATCAACATGTTGTATGAGAATGTGTTTGATACAAGCCCTTCTTGGAACATTTGATCCACATAAAGATTCCCTTCTTCTACTCTTCCCTTTTGATAAAGAGTTCCGACGAGCAATAGATAAGCATCAAAGCCCATCTTCAAGCCCCAGCCATTAAAAAACTCTAACTTTTGACAGATCACTTCAATCTCTAATCCCTTGATTAAACAAATCACGACACTGTTAAACGTTTGATTATCAGGTAAGTATCCGCGTGTCAAAGACTCCCTCAAAAACTCACCTGCCACCGTTGGCAAGGAATTATCACAGAGGCAGTTTAAAATAGCATCGCACGCCACCTTAGGCAAAACCGGTTCCTTCTCAAGCCATCCGTACAACATCTCAAAGGCATCAAGTGGTGGCGAATGACGAAAAAACCCTCCCACCAATGCTCTTAGAGTGGCTTCATTTGGGATCACATTCCTACCCTTCATCGTCTCGATCATCTGAAAAGCATCTTTCACCCTACCTGCGTTACAGAACCCGTCAACCAAAGACGTATACGTAAATACATTGGGGGAATACCGTGATCCCTCCTCCATCTGCTTCACTAACCGGATCGCTTCTTCCATTAAACCTGCTTTGCAAACTCCATGAATGAGAATGTTATAAGTAAACCTGTCTGGAACACAACCATCGGCTCGCATTTGCTGAAACTTCAAATAAGCCAAGTCTAGCGAATTGGACTTAACCGATGCATCAATTACGGCGTTATATAACCTAGTAGTTGGATTTAGACCTAAAAATGAAACCTGCTCCAAAATCTCTGCAGAATACTTGGCCAATCCCAATCTTCCCCAACTCCCAATCAAAACACACAACAAATCCTCATTGACCCTATGCCCAGAATCTTGAATATCCTGAACTAATCCAGCAGACAACAAAACCGGGCCTTTTCTGTACAGAACATTAGCCAGAACAGAACGAATTGACTGATTTTTAGAGAAATTGATGTTAATGTTAGAAACCCATGTGTAAAACCTCACAGGGAGTAATGGGTCTTCTTGGTTTTGCAAAACGCTGACGATCAATCGAGGATTCAGATTCACCCGTTTAGCCCTAAACTCGTGGTTTAGCAGCAGGTACCAGTCTTTTCTCGATAGAATTTCAGAAATGTGCAGAATGTCAATGGAGTTTTTGGCGAGCCTAGATCCCGATTGAGAGCCCGAAGAAGACTTACTTGAGCCGCGTTTTGAGGGTCTGCTTGAAATGCGGCTTTGCTCGGACTGATTTGTGATTGCCAGCGAAGCTTGGGAGGCCAGAGCAGAAAGATTTCTAGAAGGTTTCGCAGAAATGGCGAATCTTCTTCCACACGAGAACGATACGGCCATCTGCAAAGATTTCGCAGAAACCGTTTTCTGCTCCTCCGCTATTCGCCGCCGCCAGTGAGTGGCGGAAGAAGAGACGCCGGTCGCCGGTAAAAGATGGGTTTCAGGTCCATTTTATCCATGGGGAAAAAATACAGGTAGGATGGTATAGTAATTGGATGAGTGAGTTACTCATTTGGTAAAGTGGCACGACAAATTATATTATATTATTATGCATCTGGTTGTACTCAATTTTGAGATTTATGTTATGAATTTTATTTTATATAAGATTGAATACTAAAGAATGAATATTGCTTTATTTCAGAATTAATACTACATTATTTGTAGATGAATATTATACGGAGTAATTATATTGAATTAATATGCGAAAATGAGTACTACATTATTTGTGCACCCCACCCCACATCCATTTTTTTAAATGAACTACTAATCCATTAAATTAAAGAAGACATACAATAAAACCCACTCCATAAGGCTCTCTATAGAATGCCTTATTGAAGGAGTGATGAACAAAATGAAAACTAATGTCTCATCCACAATAGACTGATAGAGATGTAGACGGCCTTGTTTGGCATCAACGTTTAAAATTAGCGTTAATGTTTTAAAAAAGTTATCTAATGATAGCTTCTACTGTTAGTATTTTTAGATTTTATCTACATTATTAAAATTTTATTCAAAACACTAATACTAATTGAACACGTTGTTCCCAAACAAAAGTGACGTTCACAAGTTACAATAATCAACCATAGAGTTAAAATAAAAGTAGTGGTAAACAGGGGACCTGAGTTGCTTTGGCTTTACTTGACTCCACCATTACTTGTATCCCTAACTTTTTCCAAGTATAAATGAGTATAAAAAAAACATCTTTTTTTGTAATTATAAACTATGGTTCATTATGTACTTTTAGTATATAAATTAATTAATAAAAAGAACAAATAAGAATATATATTCTTAAAATAATTTATTACTTAAATGAGGAAATCGATATTTTTTATACTTCGAGGTATGAATTTAAGTCCATGCAAGAAGTTATTCCTTCTAGAAGATTAAGTTTTTACTTTCTCTTGTTTTTAATATCTTCATAGAAAACAACTTTATTATGTATTAATGTAATTCGGCATAAATAAGTTTTATAAACACGTCATTTTAAATAAGAGGTCACAAGTTCAAATCTTATTGAGAACAGTAACTCTCTGAAAACTCCATTGAGAGCAGTAACCCTCTCAGCTTCAACAATTTGTGAAAAAATATGAATAAATATTACATTGTAACCGAGGTATTAATAATCAGAATAAATAATGGTTTCAAATTACCATCAAGGAAATTTGTAATTTTGGGACAAAAAAGAATACGGAGTACCAAGATATTGCAAAGTATGGTAGAATGTAATGGCGTAAAATAGTCTTTGTCTAAGAGCATTCATGTGAGAATTTGATCAAAACTTCTCGAGATTAATCCGGTAGAAATTTGTAAATTTGCAAAGGGAGTAAAATCCCATTCAATTCCCCCACACCAATTATTTACTACGGGTACTCGGTAACATATAGCCCGCTACGCAACGTAATAAATTACACTTGTTGTAACAACGACACGAACCCCCAGTAAAATCTCACAAGAGTAGGGTCTATAGAAATCTAAATTTTACTACAAGTGGCGGAAGATTAAGGTAACATATATGTTTAAAAGAAAGAAAGAAAGAAAATACAGTGATAAACCGGTCCGTTCTACTAATGTTCAACTTACGTCTTGCTTGTTGAAGGATTCAAAAGTTTGCACCCTTGTCTTCGATTCCGGTTGTTCCATTTCTTCCATAAATCCCGTCGTCATTCTCATGAAGTCCTTCATGTGCACTTGCTTCCATTCCTGCTAAAACAAGTGTGTCCATTCATAGCAGGGATGGGAGGAAATTGAACACACACACAGTATAATTCTTCTTGTTTACATTAATCTCAATTACATTAAGGTTGGTCGCATGAAGTTTAAAGTGTGTTGGTTGTCTTAATTTAGTTCACACTAAATTCATGCAAAAGAACATATACTGCCAAAGTTTGAGTCAGGGAAAATCCTTCTATGATCCTAAGGTCTATGCTTGTTTTATGGACCTTAAAGCATTCATATCGTAAAAGAATTGGGCCTTTGGCAAAAAAAGAAAAATGTCCACATTTCACATATGAACCTTAGGGTCACGGAAGAACAATTCTTGTGTCAGATACCCTTATTGTGTCGCAACCTTTAAGGAAGGAATAATATGATGAAGTTCCAAAATCATCACCATGTGTTTTTTTTTTCAAATTACATATAAAATATAATGAGAATACTAAGACTTGGGGATTTCACCATAAAAAGTCAAATAGAAGTATAACCCAATGCTTTATTTTGTGTTTGTTAGTTTTTTTTTGTAGTTGGCCGATGCGGGATGACTTAAAGACAACAATGACAATGCCATACTATTACTGAAATGTAAGAATACCTTAAGTTGTTTGGTTAAGGTGATCTAATATTTCTTATTTTGTTAAATTGTTAGAAACAAAGTCAGAATTGTCCAAAATATTGCCAGCATAATAACTAATAAGCATACAATGCTTGAGAAACCTAACTATCCAAGGTAATCAGATTAGTCCCGACATTACGCTATACTTCTATCTGAAGGTAATTTCATATTATCTGGTAATCTGAGAACCTGAACCATACAAGAGAATCTTACAAGTGTCAAGTTACCCAAACCACAGCCCTAGAGGTCTTTGGCATTGCTAACAAGTAAAATGAGTCACATCCAAGATTTTGTGTTTCCCAAAACATGTAAGCAAATATTGATTTTAAAAAAATTTAATTCCTATAAAGACTTCATATGCAAAGAAATTAGTGCAGCAGGCAAGAAAAACCATAACAAAGTACCTCAAAGTCCCACTCTCCATACAAGTCTGGATCAGTTTTATCTGCCCAGACATATGTATAAGCTTGAACGATCTCAGAACCATCCTGCGAAAAAGTGCATGAATCCATTTCTAAGCACACATTTGGAAAATGCAACTGAATAAAAAAGCAAATGGATATTTTGCAAAGAAAAACTATGGCGCACAGTTATCATCATATTTTAGAAAACAAAGTTTTCAAGACTGCATCTTGAAAATGCGATGTTGAACATTCTTTCCCAAAAGCACTTGACTGCTCAGTCTTTAATACACACACACACACACACGAACGCATTGAGCAATCGATAGTAGTTTGATACTCACCATCAAAGAAACATCAACAGTCATCCTCTCATATTCAACATCCTCAAAGTTATCAAGGATCTCCAATTCGGGACGAGTGATCCCCAGGAGAACCTGTGACAAATTAACTTGGAAATGCTAACGAGAAACAATGTGCTCTAATTTTTAACAGTTGTACATTAGATGCGACATTTAGTGATCTTAATAAAGACATATCAAACTCAGTTCATTTAGTTCACGACTTCATTCCTTTTTATCTTTAATTTTGAGCCCGTTCATTCCCTTTTATCCTTCTCAATGGCAAACTCAAGGCTCACTTGTTCACCTCCACCAAGCATTTCTGATTGCCTTGTTTGGTCAAATAAAAAACATGAGCAAGCGATTGAACCCGGTGCCCGCCTTTGTTAATTGAAACCAATGGAGAGCATTCAATTGCATTAAGTTCCATATTAACCGTCCATAAAAAAATATAAAAAGGAAATACGCCAAAAACGTATTTTTCTGATTGATAGTCTTAAAAAGACATGTTAAGGATGTTGGTATTATTTTGGTGTGCAACGAATATCGCGAATGCAGAGATTGAAGAACCAAACCCTTCCATTGACTTTCTTGTTTTCTACAGGTAGGATTGCAGGATAAACACGCCCCTTGATGCTGAATCTATGACTGCATGGCAAATTAGAGCACATTAGAGAAATGGCCTGCTTGAAATTTAAATAGTTATACATGTAATTCAACCAGAAAAATCGAAGAAGTTCCAAAAGTTGTGAATACAAAAATGAGTGCATCATTATTTATCACAAAGCAGGTTCCAGCTGAGAACATTGTTGCAACTAAAAATGAAAGGAAAAGATACTAATTGAGGGCAAGTATACGATCACAAGGCGAAGATAGAACATTGGTTATGAAAATTTTCCATCTTTCACTGCAAAGGCGTCATGGGACAAACAACACACAGAAATGATGTCAATCTAAGTGCTAGTGTATGAAACCACATGGCTGAAATGGATAATATGAAGATCACTTTACACTGTTGGACACTGATGAACTGAGTGTGACTGTGAAAAACCAAATCAATTTAAGCGAATCTAAATTTCAACAGACGGCGAAAAGGGATACCATTCTTCAAAATTAAAGTGGCGAAGAGCTTCTGAAGAACCTAAATGGCAAATATATATATTAAAACCACTTCAGATTGTTGAATGCTCAAATGAACAGAGGATTACTATGGAAGATCGAATCAATTTGGGCAAACCTAACAGATACTATCCGTCGGTCGGTGCGCAAATTACACAGAGTGGGACACAAATTGAAGCTATGAAATATGGGAAAGAACTGAGACGAGACTTAACTGGTGGTGGAGGGCCGCCGGGGAAGAAGGAGGAACGCGGCTGAGGAGAACCCGAACGACGTCGTCCGCTAGCAGGCTGCCGTAGACGAAGACCTTGCCGATTGCCGCCTGTGAATTTGCCATTATTGTTTTGTTGGCGGCACTCTCCGCCTGTGATTTTGCCACTATTGTTTTGTGAGTTGTGGCAGCCCCCAAATTTGACACCGGATTGTAGGCACAAAGAATAATATAGCAATAAAGAAATAAAAATTTTATATTTTAAAATAAAAAAATATAAAAAAAATAACAAGAATAATTTATTTTCTAAAATAATCAATAAAAATAGATAAACATACAAAAATTTTCTTAAATTTTGAATAGTAAAAATGTGTCAATCTTTTTGGAATTGATAATATAAGAGCTTGTTTTCTTCGTGTTATTTGATTGGGTCTGATCTTATTTAATTAATGTTCAATCTAATATGATTTGATTGTAATTATTTTTAAACTTGATTCTGATTTTATCTGATTTTAATAAGACTAAATTAAAAAGAAGAAACTTTAAAAACAAATTAAATAGAAAATACCTTTAATTCTCAAATTTATTTTTCCCATATCTAAAATAGATTATGATAGAGGTATCTCAAGTTGCACACTATTTTACAGATTAAAGTTGAATATAGATGCATGTCTA